CATAGCGTATCCTTGTAATGCTGCACATGTGTAAAGATGAGTACGCATACATACAAATTACATTTACATGCGTCTAGAAACGCATACATGAGTACACATAGCAGCAAAGCGTTGAAACCCGATATTTTTGCACTTTGAAATATTTGTTTGCTTAGTTTCGTGTTGGTCTACTTTTTTCTACGGCATTTGAAGCGTTCTTCTCTCTCTCTCTCTCTATTTTCCTTTCAGTTCTCCCACTGGATTATGCTATGCTAAACTTTTAATTGCTTCGCCTCTTGAGGTGCATAAATGTTTTTGTAAAGTTTCTAGCTGAATTCGTAGCGAAAAAGCGTTTGGTCAATTGTAGTTGTAGTTAGCGTATGTAAGGTGCTGGTGATTGAGAAGTCCTCTAGAGCTTTGGAATAAAAAAGTTTTTGAACTGATATTTGAAGATATTGTATATTTTAATAGCAATATCAGTGATTAAATAAGAAATTTTTATTTAAAAGGAACTACTGCAAATTTCTTGTGCAGCTCCGTTATGTACTAGCGATCTAAAAAAAAATTTCAAGATACTGTTCTTCCATTTTTCTTTCTAATAAATTTTTAAAATTATTGCATAAGGGCGTTATGGTTTGTGTATGTACAGTGCCGGGCAAAAGTTTTGGCACACAGAACTTTTCGCAATATATGCACAGTTTTTTATTCTAATTTATTTTCAATATTTTTTAATAAAAATATAGTTCGTACTTCACCAAAAAACATAAAAACTAAATCTCTAAACCTTGTGCAAGACTCAGGAAAATGCAATAAATTTGCGTACTAATTTGCAACTTTCTACTCAAGTTCTTTAGAAAAATTCTAAGTATGCAGTTTTATAGGCCATGCAATTTTAGTATAACAAAGTATAAGTGTGAAGTATCTAAAAAATCGCGTTGATTTTTGGCAATATTTTTAGTGCAAGATGTTGTTCATTTTCTCCATACAAACAATAATTGTCGAGCATACTTTTTATGGAAGAACCTGAGTGAAAAAATTGCCAAAAATTAACGCGATTTTTTGGCACCTTAAAGCTGGAACTTTGATATACTAAAATTCGATTTTTTTTAAATCTGAATAGAAAGTTGCAATTTAGTAAGCGAATTTATTGAATTTTCCTGAGTTTTGCACAAAGTTTAGAGATTTAGTTTTTATGTTTTTTGGTGTAGGACGAACTATATTTTTAGAAACGATTATAAATAAAATAAAAAAGAATACAAAACTATTATACTATTACAATATTGTGAAAAATTCTCTGTGCCAATACTTTTGTCCGGAACTGTATGTATATTCTGCAAATCTTTATGAAACTTTTAATAATTTTAAAGTGAATATCAGCCCGATTTTGTGCACTTCCATTATTTATCAAGAATTGGAATTCTAGCACACAACACAAAAGCTCTTTTCCTGATAAATTATCAAGGTTGAAAATGCTAAATGCTAAGCGTTTACAAATTGAAATTTTATACAAAAATTATAAATTGTGTATATTGAAAAATGTGTTTCTATCATTCAAATATTGCATGTGCCGGCATTTGAACCTGTGACACACAGAATCTATAGCCGACATCTCTACCTACTCTGCTACGGCAGTCAAAAGCTGCTTTGCTTTCAAGTTCATATTTTTAATATTTCCTTTCATGTGGAAATCAGTTCCCCTCTTGTGGAAATCGTAGATTTTTTATTTAATAAATATTGACACAGAAAACGATGAGAACTTTTACTTGATAAAAATCTTGCTAAAATTCCTTTACAAATAATTTATCAGGAAAACACAGAATTGTGCGGTACATCTTCTTTTGGTTTTATTGCTATAGAAAATACCGCCTAAAAGTATGCAAACATTCTTGAATTTTTGCATACGTATGTAGCTAGCGTGGATGTTGTAATTCTCAAATGGTGTTTAAAAAAATGTATGTATTTAAATCATTAGTGACTAGTATACCCAGCCGTTCATGTGATCTCACGCCGAAAGTTCCCATTTTAAAAATGATATGATGAATTAATAACAGGAAACCAACTAACTAGGTTAAGAGTATGTATGTGGTCCAAAGCTTCCACACCGATGGCTGTGGTTTCAAAAGAAGGGTAAGGGGCGCTTCATAGAACGCGGCTCTATGAGTTTGTTACTAAAATATACAAAGATTCTTAAAACAACTTCAATAAAAAATTATTTAGGTAATCATCTTTATTTATGATAGTTTCCCGTTTTTTTAATTAGAAATGTTTCCACTTCGAATTAAAATAGCAAAAACTCCTAACTTTCCTTCTCGGCTTTAACGTAAGGCCAAGAAGCCTTATTACTTCTTATATAAACTCCGAAAGAAGCAACAATAAATAACCGTCTCATCTTTAGATTAGTGCAGTGTATCCCTAGACTTTCTTCGATCGGCGAGGGCAATACTTCCTCCAACAACAAACACAAAAGACAATGCTTCTTTCAATCTGCGGAATATTTTCGTCCTGCATGGCGGCATGCCTAAAGGGATGTACATCCTACTAATACATATCTAGATACTTATTAGAAATTTGAAAGCTTGTGGCTGAGAGAGTGAATATGAGTGTTTCTCTTTCACGCAAAACGGTTGTAGATATTTCAATAACATATAAAATATATTTTGAAGATAGTTGCCATCTGTTCAAAAAATTTAAATCAATTCAATAATCAAGTTAAATCAAATATCTTCTGGTTTAAGAAAGCTTTATTCCGAAAATGGGAAAAGTTTTATTTATTAATAATTTTTGAAAATGGCTGCCACCTGCTCAAGCAAAGGTGACAGAAAAAGTCTTTGCGTATTTGCGTTTCACCACGCATTCCTTTCTTATTTTCCATTGCTTTTCTTCGTTGGTAGCTTCATTTTTTTTTTTTTTGAAATTTGTAATTTTTTAATTTTTTCCCCTGCTGATGTTTGATGTTTTTATTTTTTCCATAAAAAAAAAGAAGAAAAATCTGGAATGATTGATTATTTTCTCAGAAATTACCAGGCCTATTAAAAACTGATGTACATAAAGACGGGTTATGGAAAATTTGGTTAGTTTTCATCTGCCGATATACGTGATTAAATGGAACCACTGTAATTTTTAAGCTGAATATGGGTAAATTTCAAATATATCAAAAACTTATCCATAAAAAAAATTGACTTGATTTTCGGAATCACCAAGCAATATTTCATAGGAACTTGATAGTGGCATCCGGCGAAAAAAAAAATAAAATTTATGATACAATGCAATTTTTTTATTATTCTTTGATAAATTAAAAAAGAGCTCTCCGGAAAAAAAATTAATATTAACGAGAAAGTAAAATCCGATATTTCTTCCTCTTTTGAAGGAACAAACAGCTTATTTGGTTTTTGAAAAACAAAATATGTACATTGTGTGCAAGATGTGAGAAGTGTGCTATGTAAAGAATTTCATATTTTATATCGTATCCACTCCTCATCTTTATGCTCACTTTCTTGACCACCTCTTGCATGTAAGTTTAAATGTTACGAAAAAAGTTGGAAAACAATTTTATTCAGAAAAATATTCCTATCACACAGCTTAGTGTAAAAATGTGAACAGTTCGTTCAACAATGACACTGAGCCTTTCTAGTTCAAAATGTTTTACTCGGTGTTCTTGAAAGTTAAAGGTAAAAAGGTGCCAATCCCATTTTTTTTCAATATATATAGAATGGCAGGTAATACGACACTAAATCGATTTTTCGTCTCTCTTGAACAATTTAAAAAATGGACTTGGCTCCTTCTCACCCTTAGGTGACGATAGATAAAATAAGTCACACACGCACATAAAGCATTTGCTGTACATTACTTTCAGAAGTGTGTGTAAATGTGAGCAACAATAAAGTGAAATCACTAAAAAATATAGAACACATATGTATGTACAACCAGAACGTAACAAAAGCATAAGAAAGAAATATAAAGAAAGTATAAAATACATAAAAATGCTTACAGCTTTAAGCTGATTAATTTCTTCGGTCTGACTGGAGTATCCCCGCAAAAGCTCCAAACCAGCAGCGGAAGTAGACGAAATGCGGCGCAATTGTTCTGAAGAAAAACCAATTCAAAGTAGTAGAAAAACAGAAAAAAAAGAAAAACAAGAAAAAGGAAAATAAGTGAAAAAATAAATATTTTTTTAAAATCAAGTGGATATTTCTTTTTATAAACAACAAATAGGAAACAAGAAATACAAAACAATAAAACAATAAATTTAAAACAAATAAATACCAAAGGATGTGTTTCCGGTCGGCAAATGACACAAAGGATCTGAGATGATTTTGTTGTTGTCGTTGGCACCCGCACCACCACCATTATACTGGTTGTTGTTGTTGTGTGTGCCAGCTGGAGTACTTCCGCTAGCGCTGTTAGCATTCGTCGCCACCGCCACCGCCGACGGTGTCGTCATGGAGGTGCCCGACGTAATGGCGCCA